CTTAACCTCTCCGTCTGGGTTCAGAGGAGCCCTGACGGTGCCGCTCGGCACCGTTGGTGCTGGGGCTGCAGCTCTCAGCCTTGGCTGCCTGCCACAGTCACTCGCGTCCTTGAATGCATGAAGATAGTCATGACCAGCATGGAGTATAGCTGGGACATTCACGGACACTGTGTCTGGCTAAATAAGGTAAGGCTATCTGTGTTTGTTCTGGCTCCTGCATTTCTCCGGGTGACAAGCCATAGCTGGGCAACGCTGGTAGGGAATAAGGATTTCATCTTTCTCTTGTCTCACACACCAGCTGAGCTGCTGTTGGAGAAACGGAATATTTTGAAACGGTGCATCTTCCGTATTCAACAGCCGTGTTATTTATATTTAGAAAATGTTTCAGGTAAATTCCTCTGGGTGAAGGTCTGTCTTAAGCTGGTTTTCTTTCAGAAAAGAAACCTTTAAAATATAATGTGGGGGTTTTGAGTGGGTTTCATCTTTTTTTTTCCCCCACTGCTCATTCTCTAGGGAGGAACTAACCTGTAAACTTTAGGAAAAGCTTAGCAGCACGTCTGCCTGCCTGCTGCCGGAGCATGTGGAACAAGCTGCAGATATTCAGAGCGATGAGTAAGGAGGCATGAAATGCAGGAGATGCCAGTTTGGGAGGACAGCGGTGGGCTCCCATGCAAACTGGTTAAACGCGGGTACGGATTGTGTTCAAACAGGTGGGACCAGTATGAATTTGGGATGGAATCAACGCTTATGGAGGGTAAAGCTGTCACAGCTCTGTATGACAGAAGAAACAGTGGCAAATACTTTGTTTGGAAAACCTGGCAGCTCTGCCCGTGGCACGCCAAGTGATGTTGAGGTGGCTGAGGCTGGAGGAGGCCCCCTGCAAAGGGGTCCCTAAAACTGAGTGAACAGGCAGAACAGCAGTAGCCGTGCTTAGCTAAGCATGGGTAATGTGTATGATAATGATCTGAACAACGTAAGCATATTGATGAGATCTATTTTAACTCCAGATGGTCAGGAAAGAGATGTCAGGGACAGCTCACTTGCCCAACTGTTGACTGGGCTGTGGTGGTCAAAACAGTCAGTGCAATCTGCTGTACAAGAAAATAATGCTGTGGAGTGGCAGCTCCTTCTATACAAATCAAATTGCATCTTCAGCAAGAACAGTGTCATTTGTTCTGTTTATTTTGTCTCAAAAGCAGAAGAGAAAATGAGGGTATCAGCTGCAGTAGGCGAAAAATAAGTTTTATTTTTGAAAGGAGGATTCAGCAATTGAGGATTTTTTTTTTTTTTTTTGTATTAGGCTTAAACCAGCAGCTATTAGAAACGTTCCTGTGGTTTGGAATGCTAACTCACTTCCAGGAAAAATGGATTAAAGACTGAGGGCAGGAAAGTTGTGAAAGTTTGGTGATGCATCTACTTATTACAGGAGTAATTCCCTCCAGAGCAGTGTTGATTTTTACACTTACCTGATTGCAGACAAAGCTTACAGGCATGTTTAACAGATTAGTTACAGACATATCTTGCTGAGTTTTGAAGTGCACTGGGTCTGATCTTATAAGGCGTTTTAAGTAAATGCTTAACCTCAAACTTCTGCAAAGCCTCTGTGGCATCATGACAACTGTTCTTTTATTTTTAGGATTAAGATCAGTATTGGCAAATCTGAATTCTCTTCCCATATAGTGTTTTGTAATTAATCCCTAAATTGAAAACATGTGCTAAGTCTAATCACTTAACTGAACATAGACTTTAAGTTGCTGATGAAGAGAGCCTTCTTTGGAAAATGGCAAAGTGTGTCTTACACAGTGAGTAAACTATGTTAGTCCTGTATTGACTTTGATGATACAAATTTGATTCAGAACTACCAAGTGCCCCAAATAATACTGCAGTTGCTCTTGTATCAAATATTTACTTCTCTCTTTTGTTAAAGCAGAGGAGCCGTTGCGCTGCGGAGTGAGTAGTTGCCAGGCTCAGTCCCAGGGGAGGCTGCGGGTCCCTAGGTAGAAAGAAACTCCTCCTGAAGGACACGCTGAGTGTTGCTCACCCAGGTTTTGCACATACCAGGTCTCATGGCATCTTTCAGACCTCCATGCAGACTGTTCATCCCCGTTGGGGCTCCCTCCTCCCCATCTCCTGATGCACCACTTTCCCACATCCAGTGTTTGGGCATCTTCCCTCTCCATTTCTCTTCAGTTCTGCCTACTGCCATCATTATCCTGTTCTTTTCATGTGTTTCATCTCCTCTCTTGCTTCCTCACCTCTCGGGGAGGAAAATCCTGACAGGTATCAACTTTTTACCTTTGAAGACAGTGCAGAGGAGAGATGCAGGAAGGCATCATGTGGCCGTTGCCTGCAGGTCCCTGATCTCTGCACCACTGTAAGAGGTGCTGGGGCTGCTGCTCTGTGAAATAGCAGCATGTGTTGTCTGTGTCATCCTTTCCCCAGCTCTCATCTTTTTTCCCACTGTAACCAAAGCCAGTGACTTTCTTGCCTTTTCATACGTAAAATGAAGAGTTAGTCCCGGGTATTATGTAGAAGTTAACAACATTTCAGGCAAAAAGCAAACTGCTGTTGGGCTGTACACAAAGTTTTTTGGTTTTGGTGTACCACAGGAGACCTGTTTTTATGCAGCTTTTACAAAATATTTCTGGTGACCGCCAACAAAATCATCTTTGTATTTGGTTTTGTGAGAGAACAATCTTCAGTCCTTTTTGGGGTTCCCATCACCTCCTCCCTCTTTCTTATGGCAATGTGCAGCTGCAGCCTGAACTCTCACTCTCTAAAAGCTCCTATTTTAAAACCAAGTATGATGTGCTGAGCAAAACAGGCTATTTTTTGGAGGAATGGGAACAGAGTTTAAAAACAAAGGTGTCTTGGCAAGATGCTATGCACAATGACTAACATCCTGCTTTAACACCTCGTTGATTTTCACAGCATCATAAAGACATTTTCATCGTAGCGTGAAACCAGTACTTACCTCGACATATGTTCTTCACGCAGTCTTTGGTTTTAGTTAATTTTTGTCTGGTTACGCTGACTAGAGGTACCAGGAGGTTCAGCGGTTAGGGCGCTGATGTGGCGGTTGGGAGGCAGGGAGTCAAGTCTCTGCTTTGACAAGGACTTCCGTGTGAGCCCCGGCAGGATGGAGGACCATCTTTGCACCTTGGCTGCCTGCTTGTAGTGGGGGATGAATATCACTCTCCTACATCAGAGAGACACTAGATTGATAAACGTGTTGTATATTACAAAATACAGACACACTATTCATGGAGGCTGTGAGTACCTGAGATGCATTGGAGGTCTTTAAATGAGGGAGCTACGGAATAGCAAAAGTATGCAAAAACCTTCGTTTTATAAATTTCGCATACAAGTCAAGGTACAGAATTTAAAGCATAATCTGCTAGTTGAGCAGCTAACAAATTTACTTCGGAAGCTCTTCAACTACTTTCACCTAAATTAAAACTGTTACAAAGCTGAAGATCTCACTCATCTTGAATGGAAATCCTGTGGCATGAGCTAAATTCTGGTAGAGGTCAGAGGGAAAACAGAGCAAACTCAGAAGTTGAGAGTACTTCTGCCTCGGTGCTTAGCTTCTCCGAATGGTCAGAATGTCTAGTAGTTTATGGCTAAATAATTCAGATTCAGAGTATTCTTATGGTTTGAGGTATTGGTACGAATTACTAGGGAGCATCCTTTCTTAGTCTTCTGTAACTCTAGTGATTTCAGGGAGGTGTTATGGTCACCCTGTAAAAGTTGCACATGTATGCTTGGGAGGCACATTTGCAACTGCATGCTGATTTACAAGCTGCCAGGACACAGCCTCATTTCTTGAGGAGAGCACTACAGTGAGGTCAAATGCTTTGTACCCCCTCCTGTTTGCTTTGCGTCTAATCTTCAAATAGTGCTGGGGGCATTTTATTCTTGCAGTTTCAAACAAGGCAGTTTCTCTTGTCACCCAAAGTCAGGCATGTAACTTAGAAAAGGGGTTTTAGCCAGCAGATTTCCTGAGGCATCCTCTGCAACTGGGAGGGGAGATGGGCTGCTTGAAAGGGGGATTCAAAGCGGGGGATTCAAAGCAGGAGGTCGAGGCTTGCAGCTCTTACATGGAGGGTGGCCTCTCATGGCAAGGTTGTGCTGCTGCATGAGGATCAGTCACCCAGTTTCTTTTAATCACATATTCAGAGGGAGATCAAGGCACCTTGGAGTCGGTGAGAGCCTCTGTGCTGGGTGCTCTGGATTTCAGAGCAGCTTCTCAGGCTCCTCTAAGTGATTTATGCAATGGTGGGAACAAGAATTTCTTTCCTGAGCTGAAATCTGATTGAGGTGTCCACCACAAAGTGCTTTGAGACAGCTTTGAATATGGATAGAGTAAAATCCTTCTCGCTGCTCAAAAGCATTGAAGTTGTTATGAAGAAAGTAAGTTGCTGATTCCTCTGAACTCTCTGATAGCATTAACATGTATTCTTGTTTCTCCTTAGCCTCAGGCAGCTTTATAAAGAGATGCGTTTAGAGTGCAGATGCTCACCCATACCCAGTAAAATGTGCCTGATATAAAAGGATGTCTCTTACTGTGTGTTTTAGAAAAAAATGTTTGACTTGCAAGAAGCATAATGCACATTTTGTAGATTGTATGTTGATTTTTTTCACTTGCTGAATGTCTCGGGGTATTTGTCTCTTTGCAAGTATGGCTTAGCATAGTACATCATTGAGCACAAATTTTGTTAACAAAACGCTGAATGCACAGTATGTGAATTTTGCGGAATTGGGTCACAAAAAGGTTCTTCCTTTCTCATCTTTAAGCCGCTGAACAATTCTTGTCCTGAATGGTGGTCTTGTATCCTTTGTTGACAGTTTATTTGCTTTGTAACCCTTTGCAGGCTGGAGAATACTTTAAATCTGTTCTCGAACTATGCAGACTAAAAATACTTCTTAAGTGTGTTGATAATGTTGAATGATGCTTATGGTACGATAGCTGACAACACAATATTTGCTGTCTTTTTCAGACTAATGGACACATATCTGGGAATGGAGATGTGTATCAAGAAAGGCTGGCTCGTCTGGAAAATGATAAAGAATCTCTTGTTCTGCAAGTGGGTAGTCACCTGAGCTATTTTTTTTTGCTCTTGCATTCATAAAACTTTTTGATAGATAGTATGGGATAAAACTCTAAGGATTTATTTGCAGTTGTGTCACTTTCGACAGTGTTCATAAGGCTTGCTGATAACCTGAGCATTAACCCAAATTAAGGATAGGTGAGAATTTAGATTGCAGGAAAAAAATCTAAAGGCCTTTCTTTCTCTGTATCTGATATCCTGTCGAACCTTGCTAGCTGAGCAGGTTTGCAGAGCGACCACCTTCTTACATTCAGGTGTATCCTTAAGGTCACCTTTTCCCATGACCATTCACATGCTACCCACATCAGGTGACAGAAGTCCTGTCCTTGTGCGAGGTGACAAAAGCTGCAGGACTGGCCGACAGGCGGGAGGAAATGAGCAGCTCCTCAGAGGTCCTGCTCACCTGCTCCTGGGCTGGACTAGGCCAGCCCTGGGTGCCTTGCCAGCTTGCTTACTCCTGCCGTCAGGCTCGGCACTACCTGGCACCCCTTGGTCTGCGCAGGCGGGCTGCAGTCCCCTGACGCAGACCTGGCCTAAGGGCTGTGACAACACCGAGCTCTGTTCCAGGCAGCTTGCCCTCATTCCCAGCAGTACTGCAGATTTCCTCGAAAGAGCCCGTCTAAAGAAAAAATTCATTCAGAAAAGGCAAAATGGGAATTGGTGTGGTCTCAAAGGTGTTGTCTTGGTCTTTCTTGCCTGTATCTGTGTTTTTTAACCTCTTTTGCTTTTATTGTTCTGAAAAGGAGAAGCTGTATGCTATGGCACACTGTGTGCAATCACTTGGAAAGCAGAATGAGTTGCATGCAGTGAGGCTTAGCTATTTGGTTAAGCAGGAGCTTGTGGGCTTTAGTCAATGCGTTGTCACAGCAAAGGCATAACTGTTGGCTGTAGAATGCAGCAGCCAACCCTTGCGAAAACTCCCAGGACAAGTCAGGAGGGAAGATACGGGACTGCGATGCATCCACCAGAACTTCAGCTGAAATTCCAATAAGCGTGAGGGGATAGCTTTCCCTCCTCTCCTGTCACCTTTACTGCACGTCGTGTCTGCTGCAGAGCTTTGCTGCTCCTCCTTCTCCCATGGTCCCATTTCACTGAATCACAGAAAGGTAGGGGTTGGAAGGTACCTCTGAAGATCA